TTATTTCACCTTAAAGGATTTAATATTTGAATATTAAATTAGTTGACTTGCACATCACTATTTGGAATCCAAATTCTAATGAAGGTGGGCCACAATTCTTTCCCAGCTTCTCTACATTTGCAACGACGTTAATTAATGAGCAACAAAATCTACCATCCTACGTGTCTGTAGGTTGGATAACATGGAAAAGAAAGGTACAGACTTGTTTTAGAGAGTGTTAAAACTGGGTATCCTAACCAACTTTGAATTATCTATTTTCCTTAGCATTTTGGAGTAACGATATGACCTTAGTTTTCTAAACCATATCAAAAGAGAATACTGAAGTATAAGAAAGACCTAAGAGGAAAAAGATACTTGTCTTCCCACAGTCTGAAGTGGGGTCTTTTGCAAGGCAGATTATCCTACAGAACACCAGAGGGCAGAATAAGGACCTTGATATGGATGTTATGACAAGGCAGATTTCAATTTACAAGTACTTAAAACGTCCAAAAATCAAATGAGTAGCATTAGGAATTAATGAATTTTTTATCACTGGAAGTGTCCAAGCAAAGCCAAGAAAACTATTTGAAGTATTAGGTGATATCCTGCATTGGGAGAAGAGGCTTTTTTTCTACCCCAGAACTATTTAATGACTTGTTTTATTAACATCTGGTGGTTCCCTGTGTTTATTTTACTTTGAAACGAGTTTGAATTTCCAACAAGCCATTCTGAAGCCTAAATACTATGCTTACTATCCCTCTCCTGCATAAAACTATTATTTACATTTGCTATGCATCTAAAAATGCTATTTTTCACAAGTGATTCAGAGTAAAACAAGAGGATCAGATTAAATCATTAGCTCCTTCATCCACCTACTGACCCCCTTCAGTCAGGTTTCACAGTATGGATTTTTGTCAAGACTAATTAGATTTGAATATAAGTATATAGGCACATTTTGAATCCATTTGTATTACCTACACTTATTTTTTTTTCTAAATACAGGTCTTTCTTAGAGGTAGCATAGCATAATAGAAAAAGAATGGGTAGGTGGTGTAACCTGGCACTGACGATATGTGTGCAGCCTTGGAATTACTTAATCTCTTGTTCCCTCTTCATCTAATGGGAAGATTGAATTAGGACATTTGTTTATATTAAGTATTCAACAGATGTAGGTCTATTTTTCCAAAGACGAACACTCCCAGTTAGCCATTGTATCACGAGATGGTCTCCACATTTTGGAATTATTAAAAGACCTTGTAATTTGACTAGGTACTGTTAGGTAGTAATACCCATGGTTTTGAAGAACACGGCAAGAGCAAGATCAATTTGGACTAAAAATCATAGAACACTAAAACTATCTTTTAGTCCAACCCTTTTACATGAAGAGGAGGAAACAATCCAAGAATATCAATTATTTATCTTATATCAAACTGTTTTCTCATTGCTGGGACCAAAACCTCTTAGCTTCTCGCTTTGTAATTCCAAAGCTAATTTCCTTTTTACTACGTGTGTGCGCGCGCGCGCGTGTGTATTTTCACTTGCATTAACATAAAAGACTAAAAGGTGGTGAGAATTTAGGAAATCTAGCCAGCACTTAACAGTGTTTACAAACAAGTGAGTGTGCTTTTTGCTTTCTCAATTGCAAACAAAGGCCATATGCAAACAAACTTTAACTTTAAAAAAACTATTTTTAATAATTGTTGACTGTTTCAAACAAGTCTCTGGGAGCTTCTTTTCCTGCTTAATGTTGAGCTAGGTGATATTCAGTATGCTTTCCTTTCTAATATGATTACAAGTATCTAGAAATAGTGTTTTCAATAGTAATTACATGCTCAACATAATAGGTAAGGTGTATGGACAGGAAAAAAATCAATTAGAAAAAATAGTAGCCACATAGGATATTTATTCCGAATTTAAAATTCTGAGGTTCATAACAAATATTTGACATTTACAATGAAGATGGCAAGAAAGTTAATTTCTTGATAGCAAGCTAGAAATTATTTAGTACAACTGTAAACATGAAGTTAAGACTAAATAAAAAGGAAACTTAATTTTCTGTGACAACAAAATCTACAGTTACGTAAGCTGAATGAAAAAAATAAAGACTTTCTACATGGTTTTCTTTGTTGGATCACTCATGCTTATCCTTATGTAATTATTCTAGTTGCAAATATCAAAAACCTTTCCAGAATGTGAATTCTAATGAGAAAAGGTGATACAATATTAATTTTCTCCCTTAGGTGTTTTAGCTATTCAAGTGTATAGTAGCAGTTTGTTATTGAAAAACTTCACAACGTGCCAATTTTTAAAACAGTGTATAAACATTTTCCCAACATGCTCTAAATTTAAATTCCTTCTATTCCTAGGCCAAAACCCTCCTTATGATAATTCTTCTTAGAATTCTTTAATAAAAGTATATATACATATGAAATTTATATTGTAACTTTAACATCCGTTACGGGACTCCTTGAAGAATATTGAACATGAGAACAAATTATAAATAAGAGTGGTTTTAATGTTCTTGTTTAGATAGGTCTTCATTTTCTTTGGAAAAGAATTTCATTAAGGCTTGGCCATGATTCTCCTGATATACATCAAATACGTCCGTTTAGTTCTGAGTATTACATTTTTTATCTTAATTGGTGGGAAACTATGCAAAGAAAGGACTAGGTGTGTGTGTGTGTGTGTGTGTGTGTGTGTGTGTGTGTGTGTGTGTGTGGCCTCTGACCTCCACAGGCAACAGAATATGGTAAGTAATCTCACAGTTTAGGCTCTCTGGTATCCCCAAGGTTCTTACTACTATTCTAGCTTAGAGAGTCAATAGTGACGCATTTTCAGAAACTGAGAGGCTGACAGATTCAATCTTCCTTGGGAATGTGATAAGGCAGCCCCACCTCAGGTAAATGAAGCTAATAACATACACATTGTTCCATCAAGGGTAAAATAAAAACTGACAATTTGGGAAGTCTTTTGATATGTTTGACTTTTAATAAGAAAGACATGATAATGAAAAGATCCAGAAAAGAATTTAAAAATAGGAAATAAGAGAAAGTAAAGGTTTAAAGAACAGAAGGCTAGAGGGCAAAAGTTTCTTCAAATACTTTAAGAATCATCATAAGGAAGGAAAGTGACTAAGTGAAGAACTCTAAAAGAATGGACTTCAAAGCTCTTAAAAATTGAGGTTAGATTAAGACAATTTTCTGATATCAGCTCTCTAGGCTTAGAAGACCATTATCATGCTTCAGTTTTGAGGCAGAGGGTCCAGTCACAGAACTCTGAGCTCTGGAATTATTGAAAAATGAATCATATTCATTAAATTATTTTAGACATCCCATCATTGTTTTATGAGCACTAATAAGAGTAAATTCTGCCTCAAGGTTAAATTGCTCAGCATATCAAGCTACAATAGAATAATTGGATATCACCAGTGCATCAGATCCTACCTAGACTGGCTTTTTAGCCTTCCTGAAAAGGCGGATTACAACCTGTAGTAGGGAAGCAGTCAGACTGAAGAGCTGTGATCTCTTCACAGGTTAAGCTGCTTCAACTATCTCACTTTTCCTTCAGGTAATGTAATCACTAACAAAATGTCTTCATGCCAACAGAAAGGGAAGAAAATATAATTCCTACGTAAAGAAAAAAGGAAATCTACGCCCTCAAAACTTGAAAGGTATTAAAGTACAAAGTGTCTTTCTGATTTGAAAGTTATCCAAACCCCGCATCTTAATTTATTCAGAAAAACCACTTAGGGTCTTTCTGTTATTAAAACTTGCCCCTGACTTGGAAATACTGTTGTGTGTACCTGCCCCATAAAGGAATGTCGTACTTCAAAGTAACATACTAGAACTGCAGTTGGCAGGTACTCAATGCCAGCTACATAACATTTGAAATCCAAGAAAGAGAAGTCAGGGATTCCATGATTGGGTGTTCCCACATTCATCAGGAACACAGCTGATTCAAGAGGATATTCATTTGGGACTTGCAAATCAAGAAAAAAAGATACGTTTAGATATTTTGCAAAGAAGTGAACATGCTGATTCTTAAAAAATGGCAGGCCGAAAAAGTTCTCGAGTTTGATATTAGGATAGAAGTGTGGCTTGGAAAAAAAATAATCTTAAAAAATAAGTCAGGAAAAGAACAGAGGCGGAAGGTATGCACGGGGAGGCGGGGGTGAGGGCAGCTACGGGAAGAACAAGGAGAACAGACGCAGCTCTAGAAACAGTACCTGTCCCAAAGTGGATCTGCATGCTGCTGTCGCCATGCACAGAGCTCCAGGGAAGCTCATCTACAAATCCTGGGGCGGGCCAAGGGTGGCAAGACTTCTAAGGAGGGAAACAGAAAGGATTCTGTACTCGGGAGTCCCAGAGCGAGGGGGCGGTCCTAATGGGGAAAGTCGTGTCTCCTTTCAGGGCTGCAAGTTTCTCCACCTGTTTCCTTCGGTCCTCCATCAGTCCGAGCCTTGGGACAAATTGAGTTGGGGTCGACCCAGCTTCAGGATACCTAAGTTGCCACGAGGTCCACCCAGGACCCCAGGCAGCGAGTTTCCTTGATCTTGCCAGTCGCAGGCCCCTGCCCCACGCACGTTGCCTCCACAGGAAACTCCGCCGTGAGTACGGAGTTTCACTCCTAACCGGCCGCCCTCGAATCCCGGCTGGGGCAGTGGGACACGGGCCTGCAGCCGAACCATTACCGCACTCTCTGGGGGTGGGAAGGGTGCGTGGGTGAGCAGGAGGGAGGGGGTCACGCCTCCCGTCCCGCCGCTCGCCTGTCCGCGGTGTGGGGACTGGAGACAGGGTCTCCCCAGGGCGCGCCCCAGCGCGCGCCGCTCTGGTGGCTTCCGTCCTAGTCGGCCGAGTCCCGCCGCCCGTTTCCAGGGGAACGCCCGCTGCTTGGCCGCTGGCTCGCTCTCCTTGCTGGCTGACCAATCCCCGTTTGGAGTTCAAGATTCCCGCCGCTCCACTTGCACGACACCCTCTTTCTCTTGTCTTTCTTCTTTTTTTTTTTTTAACTTCGGTTAAGCTACACTGATCCTAAGCTTTCATCTCGGACGTCCCTCCAAGGGGATTTAACCAGGATCCCGAGTGCAAGCCGCCTCCCGCCCACGGAGACGCCCCCCCGGGGCGAGGCTCAAGGGCCCCGGTCGGCGGCAGGCGGGGCTGGGCGGAGCCACAGCCCGTTCGGGGGTTCCCCCCAGCTCGCCTCAGCCCGAAGCTCCTGCCCTCGGGGCCACTGCCCCGCGAGTCCGCAGAGAAGCGGCAGGCGGGCGATGGAGACCTGGAGACGCTCGGCGAGAGGAGGCGGGGTGGGGGAGGCGGGGAGAGCGCGCGGGCGGAGGCTGGCAGGGGGCGCTGGAGGAAGGAGCCGCCCGTGCGCTCCCCGCGCCCGAGGGTGCAGGAGGCTCTGAAGCCGCCGCAGCACCGCGAGCCTCCGGGGCACGGGCGGCGGCGAGGCTGGGGGGTGGGGGGCGCTGCCGCGGCCGGGGGCGTCGCGGGCCTCGGCCCCTTTGTTCTCGCGCGCTCCCCCTCGCCGCCCACTCCCCTGCTGTCGCGCGGGGGCGGGGGGAGCGCGCCAGCCGCCGGGAGTGGGGGGCGATGGCGAAGCTCCGGGTGGCTTACGAGTACACGGAAGCCGAGGACAAGAGCATCCGGCTCGGCTTGTTTCTCATCATCTCTGGCGTCGTGTCGCTTTTCATCTTCGGCTTCTGCTGGCTCAGTCCCGCGCTGCAGGATCTGCAAGCCACGGCGGCCAACTGCACGGTGCTGTCGGTGCAGCAGATCGGCGAGGTGTTCGAGTGCACCTTCACCTGTGGCGCCGACTGTAGGGGCACCTCGCAGTACCCCTGCGTCCAGGTCTACGTGAACAACTCCGAGTCCAACTCCAGGGCGCTGCTGCACAGCGACGAGCACCAGCTCCTGACAAACCCTAAGGTAAGGACGCCCGGCGAGGGATGCCTCGCTTCTGCGGAGGTCTTGAGGGTTGGGGAGAGCCTCAGTGGTAGACCCCACGCGGGGTGGGCTCAGAATAGGCTCGCGTTACTAGGAGTAGACAAGGCGTCGGGGGCTGTACTCAAACCAGGAGCAAGTGCATCGGGGAGCCCCCGAGCTCCGGTCCTTTAGGTGGGTTTGTGTGCAGCGACCCGGGGTGCCCGGAGGCTTTCCTTGCACACCTGTCTTGCCTGGTCTCAGATTCTGAGGCCTTGGTTCAGGTCAGGTCCCGCACCTAACAGGACAGGCTTTGGAAACATGCAAGGAAAGGAAAGTTAACTTTCCCTCCGATTAAAGCCAGTGGATAGCGGGAATCCACCTACTCCGGCGCACTGGCAAGGTCTGAGCTCCCACTGGCCGCGTCAAGAACTCGCCTTGCAAGATCGAGGGGTTCTTTGAGCCCCTTTGAAAGGTGTTAGAGGGTTCCTTGCCTTTTAACTCTAGACGGATGTTTTTAACTTGGGGTCCAAAGATGAGCTTTTGAGGGTCGACAAACGAAGTAGAATCAAATGCGAAATTCTGTATTGGTCCTTTGGGGAGGGTACAGTGGACTCAGAGTTTTTATGAAATAGATTCTCAACAAGGTCTCGAGGAAGCCTGGTGACTCTGTGTGTGTCTAGAGAGATTGGGAGCATCTGGAGAACGGTAAAACTTACTGAAAATAGAAAATCCTCTGTGAAATGCACCACATATTCCTTCCTTGGCAACTTTTTTCGTTCTCACAAGCAAAAGAGAAAAAACCTGGTTAGGACTCGAGGGATGGAGAGCAGCGAGAGGAAGACTCGGCAAACTGTTCCCCACGGAGCAGAAACTTATAAAAAGCAATGTCCTCAGCCTATGAACTAATTGAGCTTTGTGGTACACCTGGTTCTGTAAGACGGATTTTCTTTCTTCTTTTTCTTGGTCTTTTTTACTATTCTTGTTGCTTACCTATGAAAGTGGAGGTGTGTATCTTCTTTAAAGTTACTGACATTTTCCCTCCTTGTGAGGGCTGTGTTGAAGATCAAGCAGGAAAACAGTCCGAAAGGGAATGAATCCTGTGTATACACAGGAAAACTTTCTGTGAAATGTGAGACGATATATCAATCCAAAAGAAAAAAAGTCTATATTAACATTTTTAAAATATGTAAATAAACTTACCACTTATCTCTGTGGCAAAACTCCTAGTCTTGTTTCCAAAACAGTAAGTTCTTGAATTTGGGGAAAAATTTTAAAATAATTCCTTTAAAAAAAATATGACTCCTCTTAAAAAAAGACATTCCTGCTGACAAATGAATATTCATTTACCTTAAAAATGAAGATAATGTATAAGCAGTAAATATAGAAATACAGAATTTAGATAGATTATAATGTTCAAAGTCTTGAAGAAGCAATAATGTCTCAAAGATAAATCTAAGTTAATCTGCTTAATGCTCAGGAATTTCAAAAGAAATCTCAAGGTTTTAGAAACATCACTTTTTTTCCAGATCAAGTCATTATATAAAGAAAGGTGCCAAGCAGTAATAGTGATTCAGAAATTGCGTGGTAGTTTATCATTTAGGAGATGTTGTTACAATTAGTGAAATATTGCTAATTAGTTTAAGATAGTAGTTCAGTCGCTATTAAATTATATGCACATACGAGTATGCGAGTAAATGGCTAATATCTAATAAAGACATTGAGAAGTTAGAATTTACTTTAAAATTTGCTTTCCAATTTTCAGGCAATTTTAAAGGATCTGGCAGAAAAAGTAAATTGAAATAATTAGGACATAGATTTTTAAATCACTTGGAAGAAGTCATAATGCTTTATGTAATACTACAATTTTCTCTTTTTGTTACAAATAATCTGTTTTCTTCCAGTGCCATTTCAGATCCTGGCAACCATTGTTTTGAAGAAGTATCTGAACAAAATAACACTGTATAAAGTAAAGTATTCAAGAAATGACAGAATTAGCGAAAGATCTATTTCTGTTAACAGAAAATGACGAACAACATCCCAGTCGATGTACTTCAGATTCCCTCAGCCAAATCAGTGTTCATCTCTGTGTCCAAATTACGGTTGCGTTGTAGTATTTACAGGACATAAGTTTGTTCTTTTACAGTTATTTGTCTATTTTGGGGCAATTAAATGCTCAATTTGGAAATTCTTGTAAGCAATTAGTGATGGAAAGATTCAAGGTCACCAAAATATTGTGCCAGAGTCCAGCACATAAACAGAATGTTTCCACAGTGCCTCAGCAATTAAGCAATATCCATTGCCCATTCGTGTTGCATTTTGGCTGCCTACATCTCTCTCTCTTTCTCTGCCTTACCTTGCCTCTTTATTGAAGGCCTATTCCCTTTGTAGAATGTATGGATTCCCTACAGTGTCATGGATCCTAATGACCTTCAGCCTTCCCTTCTTTATGACCCCCTGCCACAGGAAACCATTTAGGGAATCACTTCTTAGAAAAAAGAGAACACTGACTTTTCTCTCTCCCTTGAGTTTGCTGCCTTAATTACAGCACAAGGCTGGGAAAGGGAAAAACCATTGCAACTACGTAACTTCTTAACCATAGACCATAGTGTGAATAAATTTGACCTTCGACTAATAATTTCTTTAAAATAGCTTCAAGTCCTATTCACATTATTTATATGTTTTGAATCATATCCTTATTGTCTAAAGTAATCACTATATCTAGTCATGCAATATAGTATTCAAGTCAACCAGTTATATACACGACAATGATCTGCTCTGTGAATTAACCATAGCAAAATCTAAATTTGCGATCACCTTCCTCTTGGTACTAGTTCCATCATTGCATAATTTCTTTGTGACTTGTGTATGTTAAGGGTTTTGATTCTCACTGTGACTGCGCATTAGAACCACCGGGGGAACTTGAAAAAGAAATTCTGATGCCTGGGTCCAGCCCTCAGAGATTTGTACTTGGTCGTGGGTAGGTCTTGGGCGTTCATGTTTTTTAAGCAGTTCTGCAAGTGATTCTGATGTGTAGACAGAGTAAAAAAAACCCAGTGGGTTAGAGAACGTACTCATCTATTGTGCAGGCAAAGTAAATTAAGAACCAAAAGGGTTCATTGTGATTAATATTTATGTTTTTATGTTAAAAGATGATATCCGTGCTACTGAATGACTACAGGGAGCTGGTATAAAACGAGAGATTCAAGGAAATGCTGGAGGACAAGTCGAGAATCATTTAAAATTACAGTTGATCCTTGAACAACATGGGTTTGAAATGCATGCATGGGTCCACTTACATGTAGGTTTTTTTCAATAAATATAATAATGTAGTTTTTCTTCCTTATGATTTTCTTAATAACATTTTCTTTTCTTTAGCTTATTTTACTGCAAGAATACAGTATATAATACATATATATGTTACAAGATATGTGTCAATCAACTATTTGTGTTATCAGTAAGATTTCTGATCAACAGTAGGCTATTAGTGGTTAATTTGGGGGGAATAAAAGGTTATATGTGGATTTTTGACTCTGTGGAGGATTGGTGCCCCTAACCCCATGTTGTTCAAGGACCAACTGTCATATGGAAATGATCCTTTTAATTTGGTTAAGTGTAAATGAAATGAGCTGATGCAGTCCCAAACATTTGCTTTTACATCAATATATACATTGGATGGCAAAGAAAAGATAAATTTTTAAAACCCGCCTTTTGCATGTGGAACAAGAGACAGTGGGTGATGAGAAGTTATATGTTTTAATTTTGCACTGAGTTTTTTTTCTTTCTCTGATATGAAAGACCTAAAAACAAAGGACAAAATCTGTCTGAGAAACCAGTACTGCTGTAAAAGGGAGAGAAATGCGTTGATGAGAAGAAAAACTTAGGTGGAATTAGAAGTGGCTTTACATTTTTAGTACATCCCCCCAAACTGGGTGTACCTAGCTACAGGGCATCGTGGCTTACCGGCACCTTCTTGGCATCTTTTACATCCATGCTAGCGTGCCCTACCCCTCCTCACCCACACAACCCTGGGGGGACAGTGTGTGCTGCTGGGGTTAATTTCAGAACTCCATCCTTGAAACAAATGTTCAGTGTGATATACTTTGTGCTCTAGGGAGTTTCATCATATTAACGCTAAAGAACAAAAGGCTAAGCTGAATTGTGACGACTTCTGTACAGTCTTTGTTTCTTCATGACAATGTGGCTTATTGTAGTTTTTTCCTCTGGGGATAATATTAAGTAATTTTGAGTAAGTACATAAAATTCAATTCTGCAGTTACTTCTCTAGCATCTATTATGATCAAAGAACTGGGAAAGAAAAAGGAGGGCATACAAAGATGAGTTCATTCATATAACAAATATTTATTAAATGCCTATTCTGTGCTGTGCATGCTTCTAGATTCTGAGACTAGGATAGAGATCAAAATAAAGTCTCTGCCCTTATGAAGCTTACATTTTGGTGGAGGGTGACAGACAAGAAACAGATTTATACTGTAATGTCATGTAATGGTACGTGTGTACAGAAAATTCAAGCATGTAAGGGTCTAGACCAGAGGTTCTCAACGTGTGGGTCGTGACCCCCTTTGGGGGTTGAACAACCCTTTCACAGGGGTCGCCTAAGACCATCGGAAAACAAAAAGATATTTACATTACGATTCATAACAGTAGCAAAATTACAGTTATAGAGTAGCAACGAAAATAATTTTATGGTTGGGGGGTCACCACAACGGGAGAAACTGTATTAAGGGGTCATGGCATTAGGAAGGTTGAGAACCGCTGGTCGAGACAATGATGGAAGAAACAAAGTGCTGCCCCCTGTTGTGTAGGATGGTCAGGGAAGATGACTCTGAGTGACATTTGCACAGAGACCCAAAGAACCTGAAGGGATCAGTAGAGACCTAAAGGACATAAAGGAACAAATCATGTGGTTATCTGAGGAAAGAGTGTTCCACAGGCTGGGGGAACAGCAAGTGCAAAGGCCCTGAGGCACATGACTGCTAGGCTTG